ATATTTTTGCAAAGTGCTAAGAGCCCACGTACTTATAACTTCATCAACACTGGAACTCACCATTTTTTATTTTTTGTTTGCTTGGTGGACAAAAATGAGTGTCTAACTGTTGGTTCAAATTTTACTTTCCTGATTACTAATAAGTTCAAATATTATTTAATAAATGTATTAATGATTTTTATTTCTTCTTTAAAATACATTTTGATAGCTTTCGCTCATTTAAAAATATTTTTCTACAAAATCTAATTTTAAGAACTATTTATATATTATGGCCTTAAATCAATTGTGTATTACAAATAATTTCTTGCTATCTGTCACGTAGCTTTAACCTATGATGTAGATATAGCTTCCATTGACCAGACGTTTTTAATCTTTATGTTGCTAATCATCTCTGGATATATATGTGTTGTTAGAAAAACCATTTCCAACTTAATCTTACTAAAATAGTCTATAGTTTCTGTTATTATTTTATGTATTCAAAATTATTTTGGCATTTAACTCTTTAAGCCATATTGATTTTATTATTACAATAAATGACTATGACTTAATCTTTTCCAAATAAGTTCTAACCCTATTTATCAAAGGGTCTATTCTTTTCTTAATGAGCCAAGATAACTTGGTGATACAGTAAATTTCTGAATAAGTATGTGTATGTTTTGTGATTCTTTATTCGTTTGTCAAAATCCTATTTATCAATACTATTTTTCTAACTTTTTCTTTAATCCTCACCTGAGGATATATCTTTATTGATTTTAGAGACAGAGGAAGGGAGAAAGAGAGATAGAGAAACATCTATGTGAAAGAGAAACATCAGTTGATTGCCGCCTGTATTCGCCCCAACTAGGAATAGAACCCTCAGCCTTGGTATTGTGCCTTGACTGGGAATCGAACAACACTCCAATCAACTAAGTCACCTAGCTGGGGCTATTTTTCAATATCCCTTTACTGGCTTATTCTATTTGACAATACAGTTCTAACTCTTGTAATATCTTTTGATGCCCAAATAGGGTAGTTTTCTCAATGTCCATCCTCACCTTCATCCCCTACAATTATTATTTTCAAAAGTTCTTCTTGGCTAGTCCTATGCACTTTCTTTTTCATATAGGTATAAGTATGCATATCAAATTTTATTAACAAACAAGCAAATAAACAAAACCTGCAGATATTTTGGTCCATAGTACATTGAATATTTTAGAAAAATTTGGGGATAATAGACATTTTTTTACAAGAAGTACTCTTCTCATATGGGAAAGGATGTTTCTTTCCCATAGTTTGGACTTTAGAATGTTCTTTATAAAGATCTTAAAAATGGTTGTTAGGGCCCTGTCCAGGTAGATCAAGTTGCTCAGAGTGTCATCCCAATACACCAAAGTTACAGTTGCCATCTCTTGTCAAGGTACATACAAGAATCAACTAATGAATACATAGATAAGTGGAGCAATCAGTCTCTCTCTCTCTCTCTCTCTCTCTCTCTCTCTCTCTCTCTCAAATCAATAAAAAAAGGGGGGGTTGGGGTTAAAAAATGCTTGCTAGGTTTATTCCTGTTTTATGATCTTTTGGTTATTTTGACAGTGTTCCTTTCCTCTATTATTATAACTCCTTCCTTATCACCATTGTTGCTGTTGAGAAATTTATTTCTTTTTATATGTGTCCTTTGAATTCTACACTTAGAAAAAGTGTCTTACTAAGTCTGCTCTTCAGTGGAATGTCTTGGATTTCTAGTCATGTAACCATATTCCCAACAAGCCTTACAGTTTTGTCTCTCTTCTTTCCTTATTATTTATTTATTTATTTATTTATTTATTTATTTATTTATTATTTTTTACAAATTCTATACCTGTTATCTATGATAAAGAGTAAAACAGTGACAAGTGGTGAGGGTTATTGTCATCACTGCCTCCTCACTATAATGGGGACACATTTCAAAATTCAAGATAATATTTGGTGGGTGTTTCTGGCAGATACCTTTTATTATGTTAAAAATATTTCCTTCAATTCCTAGCTTACTTGGGATTGTTCAAAGCAAAGTAAAATTTTTAAAAATACAGTTAATGATGATTCTATGTGATAAGTGCATAAAATGAAAGTATCAAGACATTTAGTTTTATATTTAAAAGAAGGCTTGACATTATCTATGTGGATTCCTGAAAAGCCAGTCTAGGTAATCTATTTAAGGGCCCAGATGAAGTTAGTACCTTACACTCTTGGGTGATATTGTAATGATTTGACTGCATCAAACTTTAATAGTTCAGAAAATTGTTTCCTTGTGTATGTATTAACAATATATGGATATGATTTATTGTTAGTTATTATTTATATTAGGTTTAAAGCTGTGTGTGTTGTTTTAAATATGTATGTCACAACTCTAAACTAATATTTTGTTTGCATCTACCTTGGGTTTTCTAATACAAGGACTCACACCCTCTGTTTCTTTTATTGCTCTTTCCTGTGCTGGCTATTTTTCAGAGCCAACCTTGTTGTAGAGATTAGTTTATCTTTTTCTGAAAGACTTGTCCTCTATGGTAATTGCTCTGAGAGTCCCAATGATCCACACGGAGTGGATCCACACTCAAAGTGAGAAATAGGACAAGCAGTTATCACAATGAGTGGGCACTCTCTAATAAATTAAGTCTTCCTTATATAAATTCAAACATAAAATATTCAAACATTATATCCATGACTTTAACCCATTTCCTACATCAGTCCAGGTAGCTAAATAAAGGTTTTTCTGTGCAAATAAAGGCAAAAAGCCAAAATAAACAGAATAAGCAAACCACAAAACAAAACCCTGTAATATTCCAGGAAGCCAAATAAAGTTTTCTTATGCAAATAAAGGCAAATAGCCAAACCAAATGAACAAAAATTCAGTAACTATCATGAAATCAGAAGGACAGAGAGGAATCCTTATTTTAAGTAACCACTGACTCCCAAGTATACCCTAATGAGTAGATGAGTCAGGCTAATGGCAATCCAGAAACTTCAGACACTGGCTCTGACTGCTTTTCAAGCATACGTCGGTGAATGACAGCTAATATTTTCACATGCATTCTAGCATTTACCAAGCATGTCAAATTCAAAGGCTAGCACGGGCCAAATAAACGAGGCATGTGGCCCATAAGCTGCAGGTTTGAATGCTTGCTTTAGACTATATGGTGAATGAGGCTGTCCTTGCTGCATATATGTGTATTTGGTAATGGATAGGGCAGTTCATAGAGCATTAAAATCATTTTTCTTTAAAGTTTTTCCTTTTAAATTCTTTTTTTTTTAAATATATATATATTTTTATTGATTTTACACAGAGAGGAATTGAGAGGGACAGGGAGTTAGAAACATTGATGAGAGAGAGTCATCGATCAGCTGCCTCTTGCACACCCCCCACTGGGGATGGGCCCGCAACCAAGGTACATGCCCTTTACCAGAATCGAACCCGGGACCCCTCAGTCCGCAGGCCGACGCTCTATCCACTGAGCCAAACTGGTCCTGGCTCCTTTTGAATTCTTATTACTTAACACAAAAACTCCATGATAATTCTTTGTATGAAATATGTCAGACTATTTTATCTATTCCTCACTAAAAATTTTTATTTTAGATATGTGGAAACTGAGGTTCAGAGAGTGTATTAGTTAGCTCACACTAATATCATCTATAATAATAAAAGCATAATATGCTAATTAGACTGGACAGCTGAATGACCTTCTGGAGGTCTTTCTGGACGTCCTTCCAGACAACTTCTGGACAAAGCCAAGGCTGCAAGGGCCAAGCCCCTGGCACAAATTTCATGCATCAGAGGTCTAGTAATACCATAATGACAAATACCGTACCCTGGGTGGTAGCGATTTTGGCAATTAACAATGCCAATTATAAGGCACTGTTAACTCCAAAGTTTTACTATTTTTACATTTGACAGATTCTGCTTAATCTGAATTCACCTTGACTTCCATTTTAGTTGAAAGACTTTCTAGTTCTACTGTTGACCCTCAAAATGATTTCAAAAATCATAGTTGACTTTTTAGACTATGTAACACTTCTCCTTTTGATTTTTGTTTTGATTCTTCCTTCTACTTCCATCCCTTGCTCCTCCTCTGAAATGAGTTCTCCCAAATCTCCATGTCCCCAGCCCCAGTCAGAAATAGCATCTGTGGTTTTGAATACTTCACCATGGTGCCCTTGACCCATATGCACATGCAGGGCTCATTGGCAACATTTCCTGTGCCACTTCAGTTTGCCTGTTACCTTCCTGCCCTCTCCATTCCTCCCCAGGCTTACTTGCTGATGCTGCAGCAAAGTCCACTCTAAAATATAGCCAGTTCTGTGCTCTAAATGTGCTGGTCTTCTCCTCCCCTTGTTCCTTGTAAAGATGATGGATAATGTTAGTCAGGACAAAGTAGTTAAAGGACAACCAGGAGAATGCTGAATGGTTACAGTCCAAGTGGCACATATAATGTCTTTCTGATGAACATTAATGGGCTACGGTGTACTTTGGGGAAAGTACATTACAAGGACTTTGCGAGAGAACATTATGACTGGACCCTGTAATTCTTGCTTATACTCACGGGGACTGAATGTTCGAACATCCTGGCTTTTACATTGCCTTGCTCATGTTAAGTAGGAAAATGGATGGGAAACAAATGGCAGAACTTGGGAAAATTTTTCTTCCTTTAAAAAAGAAAGGGCAGATGGTGTTTTGAACACAACTTGTCAGAGAACACGAACGCATACGAGTCCTGGCTGTTTGAAGGGGGGGAGAAACAAGTTGGTTCTTTTTTAGTGGTAAAAAGTAGCTTTAGGTTCTCTCAGGAGCCCGCAAAGAAAAAAGCCACTGAGAAATGGGAGTGAACTGCAAGATAGGGTTTCTGTAGCAAGTACCTCAAACCACAGAAGTCACATGGGCTCTTTCTGCTTTGCTACTTCTGATTACTTGTCAGAGGGTTAGACATTTAGCTTCCCCCATCCTGCAAGGCCACTCAACCATGTGCCAGCTGGAGTGATCTTTAGGCACAATGTCTTTACCAAGGCTCATGCACCAGAGCAGCAATGGCAATTTGGTGGACTGCTGTGCTGGTCCAGCATGCGGCTCATACTCCATTCTCACAGGCAGCTTTTCCATGGATGATAATAGAAGGCTTCAAATGCTGGCTGACACTGTGGCTACTTTGCCTCGGGGACGAAAGCAGGTACGATCGCTATTTTGTAACTTTTAGAGGGTTCACGTTCTCTTGAGACCAGAGATATGTCTGTTCGACTTCTAAAATTGTTATTTTAGAGGCTTCTAAGAGGAAGGAGGTGAGGAGGCCAAACCATACTAGTATACTGGTCCAAAAATTTAAGACCATAACAAAAGTTTTTTGGTTTTTTTTTTGTTTTGTTTTTTCATGACAAAACTTAAGAGAAGATTGCTTTTCTCATTTGGAGAGGTGACGAATCTTCATCATTTGAAGATGCTATTTATAGACATGACCCATTTGAGAATTCTTGATTTTTCCCCTTGTTTGTGTCCCATCGATTCTTTTCCTCCCAGCCTCATCAATATATAATTGATGTTTTACAAAGAAGAAGGGAAAGGGATAGAGAGTTAGAAACATCGATGAGAGAGAAACATCCATCAGCTGCCTCCTGCACACCCCTTACTGGGATGTGCCCATAACCAAGGTACATGTCCTTGACTGGAATCGAACGTGGGACCCTTCAGTCCACAGGCCAATGCTCTATCCACTGAGCCAACCTGGCTAGGGTAGAGAGTGCTTTTTCTGAGGACAAGTTTTGTGGACTAAATTATCTTCAGCTTTGAGGCATGGGCACATACCTCATGCTCTTGAAAATATTTGTATTAGAAAAGTGAGTGCAGCCGGCACCGGTTTGGCTCAGTGGATAGAGTGTCGGCTTGTGGACTGAAAGGTCCCGGGTTCGATTCTGGTCAAGGGCATGTACCTTGATTGTGGGCACATCCCTAAGTAGGGGGTATGCAAGAGGCAGCTGGTCGATGACTCTCTTTCATCGATGTTTCTAACTCTCTATCCCTCTCTCTTCCTCTCTGTGAAAAAATCAATAAAATATATTAAAAAAAAGAAAAGAAAAAGAAAAGTGAGTGCAGATGGGACATCAGCTCAGTCACTGAAGAGCTATGGGATCTTGGACAAGTCACTTGCCTTCCTAAGATCTAGATTTTTTTTCCCTAAAATGACGATAATAATAGAACCACCCTATGGGGCTCTTCCGCTGCTTAAGTGAGAAATATGCAGTGCTTAATACTGAGACTGAAATGCAGTATATGCTCAATAATTATGTTATTACTTTTATTTTTACTGCAAAGTATTTCCCCAGAGAGGGAAACACATTAGGAAAAAACTCATGTTTAACTGGATTTATAGTAAACATTTTTTTTAATTCTTTTATTTCCAATTAAAAAAAATTAAAACCATAACACCTCTTCAGTTATTTAACCTGCTACAATACACCAAGTACACATCTGAATTTAGATATGAGTTGTACAAAATATATTTACAATTGCTTTAGAGCATAAAATTTGCCCTTAATGTTGCAAATGTATCATGTGCTCCACATAATCCTTTTAATTTTGGAATTAGAAGAACATGGTGGGAGTCATGATCTTTTCTCAGTGATGTATGTAGCTGATTCCTTGGGATTTTTCACAATGAAGATGAGGGCATCGTTTGCCATGGTTTAGATTATCAATCTTTTCAATGCAAAAGTGCTTTTATGATGTTAAATTTAACATAATGATGAGCATGTCCTTCAATTTACTACCTGTATGAAAAAAGCAACTATTGAAAGTACCCAAATCTTTATTTAGTTTTCAAAAAAGAGCAGTATGGAACATGTTTCCTGCCCTTATTGGGATTACAATGAAGCAGGAGAATGAGTAGGAGTTTACAAAATAAACAGCATAAATGCTTGAATCCAAATACTATGTGTTTTTGAATACAACTCTGAAGGAGAGAGATTCCAGATATTGGTATTCCAGAACAATGGATTTTTAATGCTGAAGCACAGATCTTGGGTCTTCAAGGGATGTTTAGGTAAGGACACATTATTGGGTCAGGAGGACCCAGTGTCTGTGTGGGAGGTGAGGGGAGACCTCAGAGATGGGCTGCTTTGAAAAACACTTGGACACTTCCCCTGAGGCAGCACCTATTTGAGCAGCACAGGGAACCATTGAGTGTGTTTGAGCAGTAGAAGGATTTAGGAATCTTATTCTAGAAATATGGCCTGTGGATAAGTGGGTAGAGACTAGTGGTGAGGGAGCAACTCTTACACTCATTGAGAAAGAGGAAATGAAGGGAATGGAGAAGAGATGCAAAATTTTGAATACCAAAGGCAATGAATATGGAAGAGGGACCTCTGGATTTTAAGCCTGAGGGAAGATAGCAAGAACTTAAGAAAAGGCAATCAATAGGAGGTTATTGGAAGAAGAGAGGGATGTAAGCATATGGGATGCACACAAGTATGTGTATATGTTCACATGTGTATAACACATATATGTACACATTTATTCTAATACAAATAATTTACTTGTATGTTCTCATCTTTTCTTCTCCCCTTTCTCATGGTCCTTTCTCCTAGTCAAATAGCTTTTTCTTACTGTTATGAGAATTATTTTATTAAAAAAAAAAGCAAGACAAAACTCTCGTACATGATACTTTTGATTCTATACAACCAATCAGTGAGATTTGTTGCAAGTTCATCCTGGCATTACACAATTTTCCAAGAGGAAGTCCATTTCCTTGGACTGGCTTTTAGAGAATAAAGTTGGCTCTGACTGGATTGCAGGCAACAAGATCTCCAGGAGGCCACCACAAGAGCAGGTGTTTCTCTGGCCACTGTTATTTTCAATCCTCTCAGGGTTGACGTCAACAATTCACACTTCTCGTTATTGTTGGCTTTGGTTTCTGCAAAGCAGTACCTGGTTAGCCTGTAGTTTCAGATGCATCTTCAGAATCATTAGGGTGTTTACACTCAGAATTGCTTAAAAATAGATTTCCGTGTGTGCATATTTATCTCAATACCTGTCTGTATTTGTAGGAGTTGACAGACACTCCGGTGCAGTTCTTATTTCTATTTCTGAACACAGTGTTAGGGGGAAAATATCTACAATGGAAAACACTGTAGGAAGGAGACTGGGGTCCGCAAGGAAAGTCTTTAGACATATTGGAATGCCCAAAGACTAGGGTTGCTCCTCGAAAACAGTTTTTACCAAATGGTGTAGTGAGGCTAGGGGCCTGACATGTAAGAAGCTGGAATATGCACTAGTGGTGCACAGACTGAACCTATTGGCCTGGTTTTCTCTTGGTTATCCAATTACAGTTGACCCTTGAACAATGTGGGGTCTAAGGGTGCTAACAGTTGAATATCCGTGTATAAATTTTGATTCCCCAAAATCTTAATTATTAAAGGGCCTACTATTAATAAGAAACCTTACTGAGAGCATAAAGAGTTGATTAACATATCTTTTGTTGTAAGTTATATGTATTACATACTGTATTCTTATACTAAAGTAAGCTAGAGAATAGAAAACATTTTAAAAATCATAAGGAAGGGAAAATACATTTACACTATTTATTTTTAAAATCCACATAGAATGGGCCTGCACAGTTCAAACTTATGTTGTTCAGGGCCAATTGTATTACTAAACAGACAACTCCAGAAGAGTAATTTTACTGAAAACTTCAGATGTGGAATATTGTGCTCAGTTCTGTAAGGCATGTATTTCTGGGATGGGTCCTGCCTGTGAGGAGCTTTTGCATTATTTGTGGCTGCACACCCATCTGTTACCAACACTCCCAAGTGCTCCTCCTGACTAGCAGGTATTTTGCTCATTGAATGAATCATTTTAGGTAGAAAACTGTTAATTTCACCACAAAAGAATTGGGAAAGTCTTTTCTGATCTGTACTGTTGCATGCTGGGAGTCAAGTTCCAACAGTTCTTCCTGTTGTTGAGGAAAGGGGTTGTTGAGCTCACCATGAGACTTCCCTGGGGAGCTGTAACCCTCTTTGGGTTCCTTCAGGGCACTTACAAGTTAAGCAAGTGAGTTCAATGCCTTTATTTCCACGTATCTTAGAGTCGTCTGCTCAGTCTTGGCATCCCAAGAATCCTGTTTTCAAAGGAAAAAGAAAGCAAGCTGTATTCAGGGAAGAACTGGGGAGAGGGAGGCAGGGGACAGGAAAGGACGCAGATCACATGATTTGGAACTTTGGAAACAGACAAACAAACAAAGGAACAAAAACACTCCTCACCTATGAATGAGTGCCTCCCCTCTCTCTCTTCTCTCAACACTTTCAGGAAGTGAGCACACAGAGTGGGGACCAGGAAGTAGCAATCTGTTACTTAACAGCAGGAGTGGATACAGTATTGACCTTTGAGCTCCTCTGAGCCTGGCAGGCTATCTGACTGAGCTACAGGTCATCCCCTCCTTTGCAAGCTGACAGCTTTGCAAGCTGAAGCATTTTGGTCCTGGTTTCCCACTAACAAGGGACATTGTAAATCACTGGGTAGCAGGAAAATTACACCTCGAATATTAACGCCTGATTTTTAAGTCATCTGACTAAAACCAAGAGAAGAGGGATCATAAATCCAACCCCAGCATCTCTACATTAGCGGCTAGCAAAGAGTTAAAGAGCTGTGTGTACGCGGCAGTCTCAATTGAATTGCCAAATTGCTAAACCTAGCGTTCTCATATTAGATAATGTGTAATAAAAGACAGCTGTTGCCAGCATATGCTGTTCATTACACACCAGTGCCTCATTCATGAGTTTTCGTGCCGTCGCTACCACCCTGAGAAGGGACTCTGGAGGGCAGGCTGGGAGTAGAGACTCCTCCAGTGAGGTCCTAGAGCAGGGCCGCTCCCATTGGGGAAAGGGCTGCAGGGAAAATGTTTTCCCAAGTGTCAGGCCTCTGATAAGACCTCAAGCAGACTTCTCTGCACTTAGGCAGGTAGTTTTGTGTGAGAACAAGTTTGAACCTTGAGAACATTCCTTTCCAAATCACCTGTTTCTGACAGCCCAGATCAAAAGCAAGCAGTCTCTGTATCAAGAAGTGGCACGTGTCAGGGAATTAGATGGTGTCTATTTTATTTAAATTGTTTTCCTTATTTAAAGGTTAGGTCTCTAAAACAGGCTCCTTGGCAACTCAGAGTGGAAGCTAATTTATAATTTGGTTTAGTCTGACTTTTGGGTGTGTCACTGATAACCCGAATCAGGCAGTCCACAGGAGCTGAGTACCCGCTTTGCCTCTAATTTTCATTTTCAATAAGTCAATTAGCTAGATAGAAAGGGTAGCAAGAGAAAGGCGGGGAGATTTCCTTCTCTTATTACACATTATCTAACTTGAGAACGCTAGGTTTAGCAATTTGGCAATTCAATTGGGACTGCTGAGTACCCAGAGTTCTTTAACCCCTTGCTAGCCACCGAAATAATGATGCCTGGGGTTGAGTTTATGATCCCTCTTCTTTAGGTCTTGGAGTTGTGTGGATTTTAAAAAAAAAATCTTAGATTTGATCTATCTAGAATGATTTTTTTTTATTTAGAAGGTAGGTTGAGGGTGGACCAGATGAAATCTTGAGGTTCCTATCAATGCTATGACTAATCTGCTAAATAATAGCAAGACTCATATTTTTAAATACAAACCCTGGTTATGATTATAGATGACATAGATATGACCTATTTAAGTAATTTATAATTTCAAGTAAGGATAAAAACCAATGAGATGCAAACAGTAAAAACAGATTAAGAAAATGAGAATAACAAGGTGAGGGGAAGATTGAGCATGCTTGGGAGTATCGTTTCCTGCTCTCTTCCACCAGCAGTTAGCCTACTACACAGCTTAATGGTCCCCATTCTTGTTGATACTTCCCAGGACAAAATCAGGCTGAGATGAACCATGCACATTGTTGTAGCTCTTCCACAGTCAGTCCTTATACTTGTAAGTTGAAAATAAATACTTTGCAGCAACTCAAAACAATCTTTTTGGGTCTGAGCCTTCCTATTGCTACTGCAGGATGACATAAATGATTTGAGGTCCCGAACTTATGCAAAAGAAAAATGTAATTAATTTACATTAACTCAGTGGGAATACACCAGCGCTCCATTGCATTAACTTTACTGACCAATAGCCAAACTCTGCCCTAACACCGAGCCTTCCAGAAAATGTGTCAGAATGTTGGCACCCGGAACTATTATACGTAATTCCAGTTCCTTACAGGGCTGTGGGCTTCTCCTCACAAATGCCTTAATGAGGATTTATTTTGTGCATTAACTCCTTCTAGGCGTTTTTCTCCTTCCAGTTTTTATCCTCTATTTTATTTGTATTTGTGTAGACTCACTATGTATTGATCTCCTGAAAGTTTATGTTAAGTTGACAGTTAAGCATCATGGGTAAGCTTGGAGCGTGAGTGTTTTTGTTTAGGGCCCCAGACCAACACTTGAGAAAAGGCTAATTAGCATTTGTTAGTTCCTCAACAAATGAACAAAACACACACAGAAACTCACTTGATCACTTAGAAAAACTAGATGCCACCTTTTATTAGCTTTTCGTCAGTTTACAATGGTTGACTACATTTTGGAATTTTATGTGTATATGATCTCCTTCCAAAACATAAAGTAAAGGTGATATTTTTTATGCCATTTACAGCATCCCAGGGTTCCTTTTTTCTCCTTTGGCTGGAAATCTCACCCCACTCTTCCAAAACTATTACAAAAAATAAATCATAAACAGAATTGAGGTTTTGTGTGTTTGGCTTTACTTGGTTTGTATTTCTGCATATGAATCGGTTCTTTAGAGATTACTTTAACCTACTTTTAAAAAGAACATTTTAAAGTAACTATTACTATAAACGCAGTCATTTCATCAGAATCTCCAAAAAACTATTAAGTATTTGGGCTTTGCATATCATTCCCGGGTGTTATTTTTCTTTGGATTTCAATGTGATTATAAATTGCTATGGTTAATCTCTCAGTCTATTTTTAATACAGATTAGATATGAAGTTCTTTTGGGAAGCTTTGGAGTGTTGCCACATTACACTGACTCTTGCCACAGTGTATTATTATCAGAGCTTTTTTTAATCTTTTAAACAGAATGCTTTGCCAGCTCTCCTTTACTACCACTAAAGAATGGAAATTACTGCCTTTACCTTCTTTGAGCTGAGCCAAAGAAGGTGATAAAGAACAAAGTTCTTTGTGACTTAGAACATTTACAGATGTGTCTTAAGGAGCTTTTGGTAATGATGTGCTTGTTGTATTTTTCAGCTTGCTTTGACGAGATCAAGTTCATTGGGTGACTTTGCCTGGTCTCAAAGGTAAAGATATTCATTTATTGTTTTGGTTTCTCACCAACATATTTACGAACACAGTTCTCCAGACTTATTTACACACACACACACACACACACACACACACACACACACACGCAAACTTATAATACTACAATTTACATAAATGTCAGCTATTTTAAATTGTGGCTATTTTTTATTTTCAATAAGTATGTGACAAATATGATACTTTGCTCTTAATGCATCGTTTTTTTTTTTTTTAAACTTTTTATATATTTTATTACAGAAAGCTTGTTACTGTGGAGAAGCAGGATAATGGAACCTTTGGATTTGAAATTCAGGTGGGCAGTTTTCAAACTTTTCATAGACAGTGGCTCCAGTAGTGTCATGGTATTTGCAAAGCAAGAATGAAGTAAGGGTTAGAGATGATGGGAGACTGTGATTTTTATTCAATGTGTGGTTATTTTGGTAGTTCTTTAGTGTCTTTGGTACCATCTAGGAAAGAAAACATAGAAACACATAAACTAAAACTCCTGAGACTTGCTCAACTCCTTGTTCTTAGTTGCTTCAGTCTCCATGAAAGTCTGAGACTGATCAGAAATGCTCAGCAAGATCTTTTTATTTTATCCTTATTGTTGAAAGTATTACATATGTTCCATGGAGGGTCTTAAATAAGAGAGTGAACTGCTCTTCATAGATGTATATTTTGAATATTTTCATGTCTGCTGTGTTTACATAATGATTGTTATACTACATGTCAGATTTTAAATCTATACTTTAATTCTTAAGAAATACTTGAAAACATATATACTTGTACATATAGACAGCATGCACATATAACTCCTACTACATTTTGAAAAAAATTATTTTATGACAAATTTGTCCTTTTATATTAATGATGACACTGTATAATTATTTGAAACACTTACAAACATTGCTCTATTTGTGTAGTGCTATATTATCTGAGAAATTTTTAAAACAGTTTATAGGTTTCTATGTAATAGCTTAAAAACTTTAATTCTTATTTGTTGTCTGCTTTTTAAATGGCCATATTTGTAAAGACAATGAGTTAGGGCAAATGAAGTCTAATGTAATTAAGTACAGTAGTAACTTAAGTATTCACTGTGTGTTTTTTCCATTGCACTTTTGTGGTTCTTTTGATGCATTTGCACAATCACATTCTTATACTGCACGTCATCTTTTAGGTCTTAGCTTTGGTGCTGCTTTCAGAGAACATTGGTGACTCTCCACAATTGGAAAGTCAGTGTGTATTTTAAGATAAGGAACAGGAAGCTGCTAAGTAAAGCGTGCTTTATGGATAAAGAAACAAAATGGACCTCTGTCTTCAATGAACATGGAGAGGCTGTAAGAGAACAGAAGATACCTTCTGTGTTCTGACCTCTTCTATTTTAAAACTTGGGGAAATCTATAATTTGTCCATCAGTACTATGCTTCTAAAAGCAGTAGTATGCTTTCTCCCCATTCACACAAAGCAACTCCTGTTATATTGCAGAGAATGTACATTTTATGATTGCTTATTTTTAAATGAGAATTATGAACAAGGATGTGCAGCCATTGCTACTGAAAGCAGGATCAGTGGCTACTCATGTACCCTTATTTAAAGTGACAAATAGACAAATAGAAAATTTTTGTCATGCTTCTATGATATGTCACTGGCCCCCATCTTATCCCCCATACCATAAACACACATTCTATGTGGAGCAAGCGTCATTAGTAGACCACAGGCACCATGAACCTTTGTCGCTCTACATGAGCTAATGGCTTCACTTCTGAACAGGAGCACCTCTGTGTCATCTCAGTTCTGCCGGAACCCGCTCCTCTGGACATTCTTTTTGGGTGTATGCTTTCCATTACCAGCTCCATGTCATATCTCTTCTCTAGACCTTGCAAGATTTACATATTCATTGAATAGAGGAAATGCTGTGGGAACTTTGTGAAGACCAGACAGAACCTCATGTGCTCATAATGTCAACACCTATGTGGGTCCTGGTCTCCCAAGGGAAGGGGTGGTTAGAAGAGAACAACAATAGAGTGTGGTAGGAACATAGACTTTAGATTCAGGTACACCTGTCTTATGGGGGTTTTAGGAATTTCAAATGAAGTAACGCATACAAAATACTTAGAAATGTGTTTGCACCGGCAGAAGATCAGCAAATGACAAGTGTTAGAATGAAGGTTATTGGGTATGAGAAAGGGCAATGTGACTTTTGTGTCACAGATTGGTTTTGAGAGAGAGAGAGAGAGAGAGAGAGAGAGAAAGAGAGAGAGAGAGAGAGAGAGAGAGAGAAAGAGAAGTTCAACAGTTATTTCTTCCAATAACTTTGGGACCTCTGCCTTTTCTTCCCTATCTCTAACCCACAATTTTTATATCAGTTGGCAAACATTTCTCCTTCACTGCACTCACTTTGATCCCTGGACCTGGAGGGCATATTCTCACTGCTAACAGAGTTTGTATAACAATGGTTTCCAAATGGAGTGTCTAAGGTTCTTATACCAGAAAGGTCTGGGCTAGAAAGGTCTGGCTGTGGCAAGACTTCCTGGCAGAAAAACTGTTAAAGGGTCTCTTACATAGATGGGAAATATATCACGTGACCTCTAAAAGTCTCTTTTACCTTAAGTTATGGGGATTCTAAATGCCTTCTTGAGTGACTAGAACCTTACATTTTAGCAAAGTCAAATTTCTAGAAATTGCTTGCACCTGACTACTTTCTGGTTCTCAAGCTCCTGAGTCTATAAAATAAGAAGGAATGAGCCATGGCCAATGTGACTAAGTTGGTTAAGCATTGTTCCCTGCACTGAAAGGTTCAATTCCCAGTCAGGGCACATACACATTTGCAGGTTTGATCCCAGGTAGAGATGCGTATGGGAGACAATCAGTTGATGTTTCACTCTCACATCAATGTTTCTCCATCTCTCTCTCCCTCTCTATTCCTCTTTTTTAAAATCAATAAAAAAACAACATATATTTTTTCAAATGAGAAGGGTCCAGCTAGTGTGGCTCAGTGGTTGAGTGTCAACCCATGAACCAAGAGGTCACTGGTTCAATTCCCACTTAGGGCACATGCCTGGGTTGCGGGCTTGATCGCCAGTAGGGGGTATGCAGGAAAGAGTCAATTGTTGTTTCTATCTCTTTATCCTTTTCCCTTCCTCTCTCCTTAAAAAATATTAATAAAAATATATTAAAAATAAGAAATGCTCATCAGACATTAACTCCTTCATAAGGAGGCAGTTCTGAAATGTGGTTTAAAATTTTAGGAATCAGAATGGTAATTTTGAGTCTAAAAAAAAAATAAATGGAACTAGACTTCATAACTTATGTGTGTTGGCCTATAAGTCATCTAGCAAACATGTATTCAGTGCTCTTGGTAAAATCTGAAAAACAAAAACAAAAACAAACTGCTCTTGTCAAGTTGAGGCAAGATGTGAAGCATAACTTTTTCTAATTTGGTTGGGTGACTAATGAACCAGTGATTATTCAAGACAGGTGTACCAGCAAGTGCTCAGAAATGAAAGTGGTTGAGTCAATTATAGCACTTCTGAATTAGTGCAGGGCAGATTGTCATTATTTGCAGAACCCTAATGTGGAACAATATTGTTGGCATTCTCCATTGCTGGACATGGGCTGTTTTGTCGGCTCTTGTATCAGTATGGAGTATTTTAGCATAGGAGATTTTCATGGGCATCTTTATCTTTGCTCTTGGCCACTATTTTTTAATCCCATTTGGGAAATGAGAAACTAAATTTTCCTCAAGAAATATGCCAAAGTAATAGCATCAGGTGTTCTCTTAGGCCCGAAAATATAAAAGCTTGAGCCAGTCTTATCCCACTTTTTTTCTCTAGGCAGATTTTTAAAAATTAATTAATTAATTAATTAATTTATTTTAATGAATGGGGTTGGTTGAAGATTATCTGGTAGGATTGCAAAATTGGCATATTTGATTCAGTTTATATTCAGGAAAGCCTTTTCAAATTGTTCTTTGCATTTACCATTACACCACTTAAGACGTCTGACACCATTTTATTTTTTGACAAGTAGATTTTGAGTTTTTGGAGTGGTAATTATGTCTCACTTGAATTTTTGCAGACTTACAGGCTCCAGAACCAGAACACCTGTGCCTCAGAGCAGTGCACTCTGATCTGCAAGATCCAGGAGGGCAGCCCAGCGCACTGTGCCGGCCTGCAAGCCGGTAAGTTACAACCTTGTTCATGTTGAGAATTATTTAAATAGCAAGAAGAGAAAACTGTTTGGTAGTGAAGATCAGGACAGTACTGTTGCCTTGGATTTTCTTAGTGCCTTTATGTTGCTAAGATTTGAGGCTTGCTTGTTTTTCTTCGTTTGCATGTCAGGAAGGATTATTTAATCCACTGCATTAACACTCATTTTTTTTTTTCTTGGCATCTCCCAGGTGATGTCCTTGCAAATATCAATGGTGTGGGCACAGAAGGCTTTACCCACAAGCAAGTTGTTGACCTGATCAAATCGTCAGGAAACCTGCTAACGTAACTATCCATCTGCTTCCCATGGGACTTCAGAAATGCTACGGTCTCTCATAATGCCTGTTGAGTGAATGAATAGACTTATTGTTCAGGTTCATAAGAAGGGAGGCAGTGCACCATAGCTCTGGAAGTGGATACAGACATTTTTATCAGCTCCTTTTGTTTCTCAAGGTTTCCTCAAACTTGAACATGTTGTCAACATCTGAGGTCAGAGGACATCGATAGCCCAAACATCCAAGTGGGAGGGAGAGCATTTAAAAAATAACATTAAATTCAATTAAACTGGCACTTATTTTCTTTGGACAGACAAAAGAATGATCCAATTTCCATGGCTGATATAATCTTGTGGTTAGAACAAATAAAAGATCAGAATGGTTGAGTTTTTCAGCACACACACACACACACACACACACACACACACACACACAAACACACACACACACACACACACAAACACACACGTACACTCAGCCCTGCTACTATTCCAAACTTACTAATGGTACACTGGTCTTTCTATTGAAGTTTTAATTTATTTTTTTTTCGACTATCCCATCCCTACTACATAATAAAACTTTAGTATTTAGTTAAAAGATGGAATTCACTCATTTGTTAGAACTATATTGAACAAATACTATGTTTCCAGCACTGTGTCGGTTCAGTGGATATGGAAGGAGATGGATAAGAAAAACCTCCAAAAATTAATTTTGGTATTTAATTATCCATAACTGCTATGAAGCAAGTACAATAAGGAATGGATTAGAACATTGAGTAAGAGGGCTGATACTTTAGCTTAGGTGTTTAAATTGGTCCTCTTTGAGGAGGTGGACTTTGAGCTGAAACGTAATGAAGAGAAGGATGATTATATGAATTCTTCATGAGAGAGCATTTAAGGTAAAGAGAGAGGTCTCTTAGTTGTCAAAATGGGCTTGGCACATCCAAGGAAGAGAAAGACAGTGTAATTGGTGGTTGGTGAGTTAGGGAGAATATAATAAGGGATGAAGGCAGGGAGTTGGGCCCTGGCAAGTGTGCTCAGGAGTTAGATCATTGGCTCATATATTGAAGGGTCATGGGTTTGATTCCTGGTCAAGGGTTGCAAGTTTAATTCTTGGCCCCTGTTGGGGCTTATGCCAGAGGCAACTGATGGATGTGTCACTCTCACATCGATGTCTGCTCTCTCTCTTCATCTCCCTCTTCCCCCCCTCCCTTCTACCCTCTCTAAAAATCAATGGGAAAAATTTCTTTGGATGCAGTTAACAATGACAAAGACAGGGAGTTGGCCAGGGGGCAGAGTATGGGTCTATGAACCAGGATAGGTAGTTTAGGATTTATTCTGATTATGTTAGATCCTATATTTTCTCATTTCTTCTCTACAACCACCTCATGAAGTTAGTTTTATTCCTATTTATAGGTGAAGTGAACTGAGACTGAAATGAGGTTTAGTTAAGATTAACCATCTAGTAAGTCACAGGGCTGGGATTTGACCACCTGCTCCGGATGCCAAGATCTCTTCTCTTCAATCACAGCACAGCTGCTCATTGTAAGGTGCTAATAGAAAATCCACTGGCCACTCTTTAGCGATGGTGGTCTAAAACTTCAAAGGATGGTTTGGGTGTGTCTAGTAGTTTTGGAAGATGACCTGGTGATAGAGGACCGCGTCTAACTGCCTGCATTTTCTCTTGGATTCTATATGGTTTCTGCCTTGCAGATTCAAGCTTCTCTTTACCCAAACTCATAGGATCCATAGAGTTGGACTTAGTGCTCTATAAGCACCAGAAGATTGTTCTTAACTAAACCTCATGTAAGCCTCAGGAAATATCTAAGGCGTAATGGCTGGAGGCAGTGGAAAAGCCAGAGATCAGGAAAATGATAGTCTATACGAATACTGAAGAGAGCAGCCAATCCAGGCCTGAGATTTTGGACATAGACGTCTGTTGCTTGGACAGGTCAGATTGACATTAAAAATCCCAATGGAACAGATCCACAGGGATCCTCACCATTGCTCACAATCAAGACTGCTCTAATGAGGCAGCAGATAATGTCTTGGCTTGCTATCATCTCATTATTGTGGGTATGATGCCATTTGAAATTGAGGAAAATTGATCTCCACCTTTAATGCTAGTATTTTACCACTAGAGGCCTGGTGCACAAAATTTGTGCACTGAGGGAGTGGGGCTCCTCAGTCTGGCCTGTGCCCTCTCATAGTTCAGGATACCCCAGGAATAGGGCCTAAGATGGAACTCCCTCTCGCAGCCCAGAGCCCTCACATTCCAGGACCCCTTGTTCCTCACCACCCGCCTGCTGTAGAGGTGGAAGATGCTCATGTCACCTCTGCTGTGCTCACCAGCCATTATCCTGGCTTCTGGCTGAGCAGGGGGTCAGGGGAGGAGTGTGGCTCAACCAGAAGCTGGGCTCATTGCTTTTTAGCATTGGCCCTGTCCCCCCAACCCACTGGTGGGAGGGGGGTTGCTGTATTCGTATAGACTATCATCTGGGGCTAAGCAAGCTGGAAGAGGGACTGTGGGAGGTTGAGACACTGTGGTAGCACCCTGTCTGGCCTCTGTGGAGGCTCCAGGCCTGTGCTGCCCCATCTCCCACTGCCTCTGCAGAAGGGGGGTCATGGAGACCACCATGGTTGGCCATGGTGGATCAGGCTCCCTGCCTCGCCCCTGTCCACTGGCCTTTCCGGAAGGTTGTTCGGCTGTCCGGTCTAATTAGCATATTACTCTTTTATTATTATAGATGCCTTGAGAAATTCTTGCATCTTTAAAAAGTTACAGTTTATTTGTCAGAAGAAATTTGAATAAATACTTTAAAGATATTTAAGTGTGTGACTCAGACATAAAACTTATCTTATTCAGATTGATGGCTTAATGGTGAAAATAAAGGCCTTAACTTGTGCCCACAATACAAATCAAATCACTCAGGATAGAGCAAGTCTTTTTATTTTTATAAAGATATAGGGAGAAAGAACACCATTAAGTAGATAATTCTAGGATTAAAGTTGTGAGCTTAAAAGGTTTTGTGATGAGAGAGTCAGATGAAGGTTACTAACTGATAGTAGTTCTGGTTTTCTTTGTTCTAGTTCCAAAGTTAAGACAATTTACAGAAATAAAAGCTCCTGACTCCTTAGTGAGGAAAATATTTCTTTCTTTCAAGGAATAGCATGTTGATGCCACTGTTTGAAATTCTTATTGTTATTCTCATTGCTTGCTATTCTTATTGCTATATTCCTCATGCTTAGCATGGTGTACAAAGTCTGGTACATAGGAGATGTCCAATAAATATTCTCCAAATGGACAAGGCGATTCAGCTAGACCCCACAAGAATAGATCCTAGTAGAAAACAACTACCATTGCCATACAGGAGCTTCTATAAAATGAGCTACAATTTATAAATTAACAAAAATCTTTCAGTCACCCTCCCCAGGGGAGTTATTTTTTGTTTGTTTGTTTGTTTGTTTTTTTCCCATTTTCTTTCTCTGAATGTTGTTAGATTTAAAGTCCGTCCAGATACTTTTAGTGCAGGAGAATCTTAACGTTTATGTTGCCTTTTAAGGAGTCTAAGTTTAAATTATAGTACTTCGTAAGGATGGTACTTGTTTGAATGAATCACTCATGCTCTTCTCCCCTCCCTTTTTTCTTAAAACAGGATAGAGACTCTTAATGGAACAGCAATTCTCAAGAAAGCTGAGCTTGAAGCAAAGCTGCAAGTTTTAAAGGTAATTTAATTTAATACAGTGAGGAACATTTTTCATCCTTGAATATGTGAGTGGTAGAATGAAGATCTATTTGAAGAATTGAGATAGCCCTTGAGGATGAAATGTCATGATGAGTCTAAAAGGCTGAATTATCAAGAGCCAGACAATTGGCTTTGCAGGAATATTAAATTTCACAAACCAGCGCAAATCATTTCCTTCCTCCTTCTGTGTGTCTATGAGGCTCAGAAAGGCAACAGGGAGGAACATCAATTAAAGGACATTTCATTAATGCACCTTTCTCTCTTGATTTACATTTTGTGTGGGGTAGGTAAGGGGGAACAAAGAAGGAGGAGCTGGTCTGTCATTTTCCCAGGTTCTGTGTGTGTGTGTGCGTGTGCGTGTGTGTGTGTGTGTGTGTGTGTGTGTGTGTGTGTGCGTGTGTGTGCCGAGGGCCTGGAAGTTTTGCTTCCTATTGTCTTCCTCTGCAACCTTCCATTCTGCCTCCTTCTTACCACAGAAATAATCTCCCTGCACTCCTTTGGCTGTCCTTGAATCTGCTTTCACTGACAAGTAGACTATCAACTTTGAATAGGAAAAAATAAAGCTTTTAGGAGAGAGTGCACAGTGCAGGGTGTTCAGTGAAAGTTTCCTGGTATGGCTCTTTGAAGGACTAAAAAGTCTTAGGAGACGGGAGGGGTTCTGCCAGGCCATGAAGTTCAGACCCTTGTTCATGTACACCTGGGTCAGAGCACTGCAGACCCCAGCCGGATCCAAGAACCTCTGTATCCAGGGATGCTGCCCTCCGAGCAGGGACCGCAGGGTTTGCTGCCGACAGTCTGCTCACTTGAGTTTTGTATAGCAATAGCTGCCATTTGTTAGTTCTCTTTATAACGTACGTACTTCTAAATTATTGAGCCCATTAATTATTATTGCATCACTCCATTGAGGATGAAGTTACTATCCAGTGCTTATATTTTATCCTGTATACACTTCACCCACATCTAATTAATCAACAAGGCCTCTTTTCTTCTCTGCCAACATCTTGCTATTTTGCTTATTCCTGTTATTTTTTAAAATCAATTTGTAAAATTCTTTGGCAAAAAATTCTGTTTATATTTTCATAGAAATTGAATTGCATTTATAGAATAAATAAAATCAATTGACATTTTTATGCTTTTTACTTTTCTTATTTCAAACACAGTCGAATAATTGGAGGTAAAGGGACAAAACTTTATCTACAAGTAAAATTATAACTATACAGAAAAATCTAATGAGTCTATAAACATTTTATTAGAATAAAGGGAGATCATCAAGACTAATCGATTTAAAAACCAATAACAATAAGTTAAAAATATTTTAATATTAAAATATTATATTTATTAAAAAAATTAGAGGGTACTTAAGAATAAACATAACATAAATAATTGCATGAATAAATTATAAAATGTTTTTGAAATAAATTACAGATTCTATAAATCTTTGTTAGATTTATTATTTTATAATTTATGATTTTGTTTCTATAGTTTCTTTACTTAAAATTAATATTTTGATTGAGATTAAAGTATAGATATGTAACATTTCCTATGCTGTCACTATATTCAAAGACCTTCTAAACAGTATAATTTCTAATAAATTATCTAAAGATTTTGGGGGGGTTTCTATGAAGATAAAACTATCTGTTAAGAATGACATTCAGTTCTTTTTCTTAGTAACTAGGGCCTGCAATATCATGGAGAATAGAAACTATAATTGTGGAGATCTTTGTTTTGTTCTTGACTTTAAAGGGAATTTTTTGTCTCTTTCATGTCAGGAATGAGCTCTCTATGAATATACTTTTCAGATTAAAGAGGCTCCCTTCTATACCAAGTTTGCCGGTAGTTTTTATAGGGATGGTATATTAAACTTTACCAAATACCTGTTTTTGCACATGTTAAGATGGTCATCTCATTTTTTTTATTTAAAAAAAAATCTGTCAGTATGGTGAATGACATTTAAAGGTTTTCTAATGTAAAGCCACCCTTGAATTTCTAAAACAAACCCAATCTGATCCATAATTTATAATCATTTTTTATAAACTTATAGATTTTATTTGCTAACATTTTGATAAGGATATTTGAAGGTAGCTTCACATTTCAGATAAAATGGCCTATATTCCGCCCCCGTCCCCGCCCCCCTCCTGCTGTTCTTTCTTTAGTTTTGGTATCACATTTATTGGCCTCTTAGCGTGAGCTAGGAAACATGTCCCATTTTTGTTCTCTGTAGAATATTTGTAACACTATCTGAACCATCAGGGCTGGAAGTTCTTTTTTTGGTAGAAATACTTTTAAATTGTTTCGGTTTCTTTATTAGTTATAAACTACTTAGGCTTTCTGTTTTAAGGGGTGCTGTAGTTTTTTTTTTTTTTTCTGGAGCCAATTTTGTCAAATTATCTTTTTGTTAGTAGTCTTTAAATAATTACATGAAGATTTTAATAAAATTTTATTCTCATTTTTTTTTCTTTTCTATAATGACTGATTATGTCCCCATTTTTACTTGTACCACTTTCTATGCCTTCTCATCTTTTTATTTCTTGGTAATTCTCTCTAGAAGAATTTTGAGTCTTTAAAAAAAAACACATGAGTATTTCAATTTGTGCCAATCAGCTCAATATCTTTGAATAGATAGTTGACCCTTGAACAACATGGATTTGAACTCATGGATTCACTTACTAATACACATGGATTAGTTCTCATCTTGTAGCGAGGCGATGTAAACTTATGGCATCAGTAAATACAGTACTTTAAACTTATTTTTGCTTCTTTATCATTTTCTTAACATTTTTCCTCAAGTTTACTTTATTGTAAGAATATAGTATATGATACATATAACATACAAAATAAGTGTTAATCAACTGTTTATATTACTGGAAAGGCTTCCAGCCAATAATAGACTATCAGTAATTAAGTTTGGGAAGTCAGAAGTTATATGCAGATGCTTTACTGTGTAGATGTGTGTGTGTGTGGGCGGGGAGCTCCACATTGTTCAAGGGTCAACTGAATCTTTTTACTTTTTTTTTTTTTTAATTATCTTGTGGAGTTTCATATTTTTGAGTCCCTTGATTTGCCTTCCAGGCTGCCTACCTGCTCTTTCATATTATTTAACTTTTTTAATGTTCTTTTTGAATTTTTTAGTAACAACCTCAGTAATGCTGTCTGTGTTCCATACAGAATATGTTCCTTCTATTAAAATTTAACTTTTTATTCTCAAGTAGCTCTTCTTTATTTTGATCACTTCTTGTTCCTTTTTGTTTCAAATTTCTTCTTCTTCTTAACACATTGATATTATCTCTCAGAAGAGTATAAATATCCTAATTTTAAAGCCTTTTTGGACACTTTCTATTTTCATTTTACTTGGAGAGCATCCATACACTGATGATCAGTTTTGTTGTCCTTATTACTAAACTTCAGCGGGTGTTTTTTAAAAATATATATTTTATTGATTTTTTACAGAGAGGAAGGGAGAGAGTTAGAAAGCTAGAAACATCGATGAGAGAGAAACATCCATCAGCTGCCTCTTGCACACCCCCTACCAGGGATGTGCCCTCAACCAAGGTACGTGCCCTTGACCGGAATCGAACCAAGGAACTCTCAGTCTCCAGACCTAAGCTCTTCCACTGAGCCAAACCGATTTCGGCCAGCGGGTGTTTTGAAATGTAGATTGCCAACTTCCCTTGCAGGGTGGCCTCTCCCTTCTGCTCAGTGTGATAGCTGGACAGTTGCCTCCAGGATTCATATCAAAACTGCCAACCCAGGGGCAGGTCTGGCATCTAGGAGGCCTTCCCTGGAGGGTCAGTGTATGGCGTGGCTTGGGTCCTGAGGCTGCGTTTATGTGTTCCTGCCCCCGCTAGGTGCAAGCTCTACCTGAGCCATCGCCACCGTTGGACTCTTTCCCAGCGTCCTTTGCATGGTGTGGAGCTTCAGCCAAGGTTATTTTCTCAGGCAGGAAACTCGTCTCTGTCCTGTGCCACATAAGTGTATTTAAACTATGTATCATCCTAAGATCCACGTTTCTGGTACCTCTTTCTGGCCCAGCAAGACTTCGGGTTCATTCCTGCTTACTTCTTGCACGTCTGTTCCTTTTCTAAACTTGAAATGATAAAATTTCCAGCTCATCTCTTGAGCCAGAAGTTTCTCGTGTCTGACCTATAACCAGGGTCAAGCTGGCTTCCCCTCACAGGGTGACATTTAGTATGTGAGGGTGCATTCGGTTTCATCAAAGACTGTGTTTTCAGGGATTCCCTTTCTCATGACCTATGATTCACAGTTTAACATGAAAATCGTACATCCAATGGGCTAACTGGGGGGAGTTACTTTTTAATCTAGTTTGGTCATTGACTGGGTTTGTAGCCCTTGGGAAATATTTTGCTATATCAAGCCTTTATTTTCTAATCTGGGACATTTTTGGACAGTTAGGAAAATTGAATAGCAGGTTATCCACAAAAGCACTATAAAGTAGTAAAGTGCCATGGAAATAGCTGACATGGGTGTCTCATGTAGATTGAAAACATTGGAAATATGTCCAATCCAAACTATTTAATCTCTGATAGTTGAGTGTTATTTCGGGGAGCTGCTAGTTTACATGCCCATTCAATCCACATGCCTTGAGCTGTTGCTCTGTGAGGCACTGACCTGGGCATAGTGAGGGGATGTGGCCCGGGATAGTTAAATCTCCCATGTGCTTTGTCTTCTAATGGTGAGAGATTAAATTGGTGCAAATATACAACTGTGATGCTAATAACAACCAGATATAGACTCCGAGGAAAATAGGGAAGCTTAGATATAAGCTAAAAACTGAGTCACTTAGATGTATCTGCTCTTTACCCTGGTATTTCCTTGGTTTAAGTGATGACATACTTAGGTGACTGGGCCAGATCAACAGATTAGATATTTTAAAACTTTTATATATATATATATTTTTTTTTAAAAGTCCAGGATGTAGCAAGCCCTGACTTAGTGTTTCTGGATAACTAGGTGCAGAAATACAACTTCCTCTTCTTTCTATTTGGTTTTGACTGTCACGCCAGCCTCATGCTCCCCCACTAGACTATTCTTTTGCAGGAGATAAGTCTCCTGAAGAAAGAAGAAAGGGGTTGGTATATAGACCAGATCTTTTTAGTTCTATAATTCTGGTTCCAGATGAGAGGTGTACACAGATAACAGCTGTGATTCAGGTAGCCCAGCAGTCTTAGAGCCATATGGACTACATTATAATACAGAAAGAACAGGAACTTGATGGCTTGAATTTATTGCTTGCAATATTATATTTGCAATTATAGGATTGCTACTAAATGTTATCAGGGATTGGAAAATCCTGCCCAGTGATTGTTTAGGCCCAGAATTGAGGAACCGGCCATTTTTCCTTAAGCATTTAATGACATTCTTATATTTTATTATTTTCATTCCTTTAGGCCTTCCCCCTTTCAAATGTGCTTCTTTTTCTCTTCATTTTAGACTATCTGACCTTCCCAGATTGCCTCAAGTGAAGGACCCCTTCTCAGGTGTCCAGAAGCAAAGCTGAGCTGTGCCCGCCTGCTGGGCTGGCTGTAGGGCCCTCAAATGGCAAAGGAAGGGCTGGGGTAGAGAACGAAGAGGAGAGAGAATGAGCCTTTGATGGTGTCTTGCCAAATGCTTTCTCCTGGTTGGTTTTCAATTGCCATTACCTCAGCCCAGTCCTGGGCTGATCTAAGCCTCCCCTGCCACCTTGATCATCACATTAGCCACTTCATTCCCACCCTGGGCCACTGCTCTCAGGGGCTGGGCAGCAGGGGAAGGAAGGAGTTAAGAAGTGTGGGTGCTAAACAGTGTTTTAAGTTTAGCCTTCCAAGGAAGCCTCTCTCAACAGGTAGACTTCCTCTTTTTGGTGTAGAAACTAAGAAGCTGTCCAGCAGAAAAGACAGCTTTTTATTTTCCAAAAAGTTTCAGTGTGCCAGGCTTAAAGAATGATGATATTTATTGAACAATTACTAAGATTTAGTAATCTCACATCTATTAATTCATTTAACCTGCATGACAATCACAGTGTTTAGGTTCTATTATTATCTTCATCCTGCATGTGGGAGAAACCTAGAATGTAAGTCCCTGTCTAAACAGATACTACATGGACACAGACCTAAGCAATCTGATCCTATGATATTTATTTAAAGTAAAAATATACAAATGTCATTGTTCCTATTGTCTATTGCTTTTATTGTTTCTATTGCTTTTATTGTTCCTATTGAAATGATGTCATGGTTTCAACTTCTTGGTGCTACTCAGTTATTTCTTGAGGAAGTAGTTTTCCCAATATCCTCCTTTTATACAGAAATACATCTTTCAAATGAACAAGGGAGGTTATTAGTACCAGAAAGAAAGGGGGGAAAAATTAGTCACAAATCTCAACACCTAGAAGTAAATTGCTATTTCACTGGGGTTTCCTAATATTAGCACTTTTTTTTCTTTTTTCTCAGCAAACCTTGAAGAAGAAATGGGTGGAGCTCAGAACTCTGCAGTTACAGGAACAGCGCCTGCTTTATGGTAAATGTGATTTCCTGTTCAGAAACCACACTAACATTTCACCCTTTTAGTATTTCTGCCTTTAAGTTGCTGTAAGATAATCATCATTATAAGAAAAAATTCTGTAGCATGTATAATGAATACTAGTTTGTATTTCCTTGGAGTGACTATGTATTTGGAGGAGGGATAAGTCAAGTCACATCCTTCCTTCATACACTATGCACATCCAAGCATGCATATGCACAGCTCCATGCACATGTTTGCATGAGGCACCTGGAGATGTTAGAAGAGCAGTAGGAACGATGGCCTGATTTCAGCAGATGAGTGAAATTACTGAGAACATCCATGGCTCAGGGGCTGTGCAGGTCCAGAAACTCCTGAGGCTGGAATGGTAGCACACTCTTTGTGTAGAGCTCCTATCACTTGTTCAAATAGTATAGGTTATATTAATGCAGAGATACTCCCCTTTATGACCTCCAAGACAGAAATTTGAATGATAATAATAATAGTAACATCATTATTCTTGCCTTTGTGTACATTGTAAAGGGAAGGGATGAGTTTAAAATTTGTCAATTTACGATTTGTTATGTGACTTGTGTGACCCGAAGAACTTGTCTGTATAAATAATTCATTGAAAGCACTAGCAGAGTGGGTGTGAAAGGTAGGTTATATTTCCTTCAGATAATACCAAGTCTAAAGTCTCTATTTATAGCCTAGATATCTGTCAAAAATTATAACCTCTTTATAAAAAAAGTACTTTTAATTTTTAATTAGGCACTAACTTTACGTTGAAGTTGTTTTTTGATAAAAAGTTTGTATGAGTTACTTCTATTTTTTAAGTATTTAACTTAATATTTTAAAACAATAATAACAGATTTTTTGGAGGTCTGGAGATTACTAGCAAGACAAGTACAGAATTTAGCTACCTATTGGGTTTCTGTAGACCCGAAAGTTTGGGAAACCTTTGCCTTCACTTTTGGAGCATTCTGGAGTAGAGGTGGGCTTTGTCCTGGAATTCTATATGAATGGCTTTGTGGAGACAAGATCCTTAGGTAAGAATCAAGGAGACTGAATCCTCATAAGGCCACTGTTGTACAAATTTTTTGAGAGTTGAAGGAGTTCTTTTTACTTTTTTTCACCTAGAATAAATATTCAGGGAATGAAATTCTATAAAGCAATTGTCCTCTAATCAAAGCATTGCAAAATGAAATAAAGTAGGTTGTATTAGCAAAAAGAAAAGAATTATGATTAATCACTCACTGAGGGCTGGCCATACTTAACCTTGCAGATCAAAAGGAAAAATCAACAGTCTTCTTTTATATTGTCAACCAAGGACAAAGGAGAGCAGCAGTAGAGATAATCAACAAATGCAAAGTGAAACCATTTTTGAATGTCAATGTTATATTGCTTTTCTTTTTCTTTTTTTTTTAATCTTTTAAAAATATTTTTATTGATTTCAGAGAGAAAGGGAGAGGGAAAGAGAGAAACATCAATGATGAGAGAGAATCATTGATTGACTGCCTCCTGCATCCCTCCCTACTCCCCACCCCCAATGAGGATTGAGCCTGCAACCTTGGCATGTGCCCTTGACCAGGAACTGAACCCTGACCTCCTGGTTCATAGGTCAATGCTTGACCACTGAGCCATGCCAGCTAGGCTCTATTGTTTTTCTTGAAGTATTTACCATCTAATTAAAGTCATCCCTTGTCATCCATGGGAGATTGTTTCTAGGACACACCCCATGGACACCAAAATTCAAGATGCCAAGTAGCATTCCATCAAATGCTACAGTAGTTCCATACAACTTATATTTCCATGTAAGGCTACAAAATGGTATGCTACATTTCACTTCATTCATGTGGATTCACTGTAATGCTTGGTGCCATGGCAAATTCAAATTTTGCTCTTTGAAACTTTCTGGAATTACTATTTTTCTCAAATATTTTAGATCAGTGATTGGTTGAATCTAGGGGGCCGATGTATGTCTTTCTCAGGCTGGTATTACAGATAATCTGCTTTCTTTTCACGTTAAAGCAGACAGTATAGAAGCAAGGGGGTTGGGACAGGATATTGGTATGTGAATAAAATTTGAGTTTGGGGAGCCCAGATGTAGATTATAAAAGGTTGATGAAAAAAATTCAGCTAAGCAGATAAAACTCAATTCCTTCAAATGAGTTATTACTTACTAGAAGCCCTGTGCATGAATTCATGTGCCACTAGCTCTCTGTGGGGTCTGGCTGCTTCATGCCTGCTGCCCAGAGGCTCTCTGAGGCCTAGAGGCCCATCCATGACTGGGTATGGAACACCTGCCTCGTTGCCAGGGTGATGACACCAGTGTTCTGCACCCTGGGATGGCCAGAGGCCCATCCGAGGCTGGGTGTGGGATGCTTGCCTTGTCGCTGTGGTGACAAAGTAAGCATTCTGTCTGGCTCACACTGCCCGCTCTCAGCAGCCACCCCGCCGACTCGCTTCCCCCTCCCCCCCCCCCCCCTGGGCTGGAGGACTCTGGTGGCAAGGCTGAGAAGACTGGGAGTTGCATCTTGTGGCTATGGGCACTGCCATATTTATGACAGACTGACACTTAATTTGCATATTACCCTTTTATTAGATAGGATTTGAGGACAAGCTATTTCTGAGTACAGTACCATTTCAGAACATTTACGTATTATAGCATTCTAATATGAAACTTGGAATATTGAGACTGGACAATGTCCTTTTTGCCTTAAATACCTTTGACTTCTCTATAATGAGCCTACAAGTGTAGGTTTTATAACTGTGTTTCTCCTACCTGTCAAATAATGTTATTGTAAGTTTATAATCACTAAAAAGGACAGTAGTTAAACATAAGAGGACCTAAATGGAGAAAATCTATAAGATAGCATTTCTCCAAGTACATTCCTTAAAGCTCCATTTCTTTATCAATAATTTTAATAAAAGGTTGCAGAGTCACTTCAGTTTAAAAATTATCCTTTCAAAAGTTCACAAGTATTGCTGGCATGCTATCGCATGAATAGAACTTTCTTATATGAAGAATCTGGTTTAAATGTATTTAATCTAGCCTTACTCTTTTCATGACCATGAACCCTTTTACATGGCAGGTAGGCCATGGGCAACTAGTTTTGGAAATCCTACTATAAGGTTTATCAAATTACCTTATAACCAGTCATTTGTTCATGCAAGTCAAGGCTCAGTGAAAAATATTATTTACCCTTTGAAGAGAAATTTTGGAGTATTTACTTGAAGTGTGTGATAATGCTCAGATCCATTCCTCAGTAGACTTTGTTTTCTGCATTCTAGGTGATGCAGCTAACTGCCCAAGTTTGGAAAACATGGACATAGATGAATCCGTTTTGTTTGGAACCCTGCCCGGGGCAGGCTCAGCCCTCGTGGACCGGAATCGATTATCCAGTGAGAGCAGCTGTAAGAGCTGGCTGAGCTCCGTGACAATGGACAGCGAGGACGGCTACCAGACCTGTGTGTCTGAGGACTCGAGCAAGGGAGCCTTCAGCCGGCAGGCAAGCACCGATGATGAGTGCTTTGTCCTCAGGGATGGGGACGATTTTCTGAAGAAGTCCTCTTCCAGGCACCGGAGCATCAGCACCGCCAGCAGTGGGTCCATGTCTCCCATGTGGGAGAGCAACTTCTCAAGCATGTTTGGGACTCTGCCCCGAAAAAGTAGAAGGGGGAGCGTCAGGAAACAACTCTTGAAATTCATCCCTGGCCTCCACCGCCCTGTGGAAGAGGAAGAGAGTCACTTTTGATGGGCTGGGATGCGTATTTCATAAATATTTCTGGACTTGTTTAGATCAACTCCACCCAGCTTAGTGGGAAAGTACAAATGAATTGCAAGACTGACATCCCATTTTAGGACGATGGTGACCTTTATTTAATTTTTTTTTCTGTTGTGTTTTTCCTCCCCCCTGCATCTTAATGTTTTAACTTAAAACACCTGAAGTTCTAAGCAAAGTTGTAAGTTAGATAATATAACAAATTAACACAAATACTTGCTAATGCTAATGCTGCCTGTGAAGGCAAGAGTAATATTTATTTTGCAGGTTATCCATGTGAAAAATTGAGAACTTTGGGGTCCATTGTAAATAAAAGAGTGACAATATAATTATTTGGAATGCCTTCTGTAAGTAAATAAGAAGGTACCAAAACTTGATGTTAGCTTAGACTCAGTAACCTCTGGGGAGGCTTAAAAATAGGCAATTTTGATGTATCTGATGAAATCTCTGAAGGATTATAAACAAAGATGACCATCAGCCATTTTTCACGTCTACAGTGATGGTAAAGCAGGAAGTATAAGATTTAATATGAGGGTTTAAGCTTCATGAGGCCCATGGAAAGATATTGTCTGAGGTGGGTACTGAGAAAGATTATAATAAGTTTGTTTTTATAGGCAGCCTAAACAAAATGGGTGGAAATGTTATTCTTACTTGATTCATTTTATTCCATCTAATATTGAACTGGCAAGATTTTATAGCTTTGTAATTTTTTTAACAAATCTAAAATTTTAAAAAAAATCTATATTCAAGAAAAGGATTTTCCTCCTGTAGATTTTTTTCCATATCACTCCTTACATTATGTTATATATTTTAAATACATTATGTTATATATTTTAAATAGTTATTGCCATGGCACTCTTTAGCTTATTTGTTACATTAGTATCACATTATGTTTAGCCATTCAATCGCTTTTTATTCAACGCCCATTAAAGTCCATAATTTTTCTATTCTCATGATACAGCTGCTCACTGCCTCTATTCTAGAGTAAACAACCCCAGCAATATAATAAATAGCCCTTAATGATTTTAAGGTGTGTGTGTGTGTGTGTGTGTGTATGTTTGGAAGAAATAGAGTCATTTGATAGTTGACTTTGAGTGGGAAATCTACATTCAAATAAACTCAGGAAAGAATCAATCATTTGAGTAAAAAATAGAGGAGAGGGTAAGGAAGCCTATAGGTTAAAATAACAATAATAAAATAAAAATGATCTCTAATGGAGACCTGATCTCTATTAATTCTTTGAACTCAGAAGCATCCAGTGGGCTCTACTTGAGAATCACTCATACGAAAAACAGAGTGTAGTATGTTTCACAGAGATAATAGCAATCTTGCCTACATTTACAGACTGCCTAGTAGATTAAAAATGGTTTCCATGCAATCTCTGACATAACCCTGGAGATAGGTGTTAAACATGTCCTCAGAAGCAGGCATTTGCAGACGTTCCCATAGGCAGAGGCAGGACTGAAGTTGGAAGCCAGTTCTTCCTGTCTCTCGCCTATCATTATAGTCTCCCTAGAGGTGTTTTACCCTTTTGGTTTTGTGTAGTTATTTTATCACCGCAGGCCACAGGAGGATACACTCTCCCTCCAAGAATACATAAAACGTGCAATTGTAGCTACCGCATGGACAACGAGGCTGTTTTTGGTAAACAGGAAAACAAACACCTATTTAGGGTGATTTTCCTGGGCTGCATTAGCAAGTTTTCAGATATAGGCACATTTATAACTGCATGGTTAGCAATACATTTCTTTTCAACAAGGGCTAGCAAATGGGTTGTGATTCAACTGATAGAGCTTACTTCTTATCATAGACTAGAATTATCATGTCAAAGATCTGCTTACACAAATGCATTTCCTGTTAATCCTATTTCACGGAGTTCAGCAGAAAGAATTATCACATTTATTTGAGGAAAGATGACTAGTCTTCTGCGGTGTGAGCCGTGTTTTGAGAACCACCATGGGTCATCTGGAAAAGCAGACCAGAGGTGGTTTGCTTTGCTTGTGGCTTTAAGTGTTAAGTTTAGTGCAATACTTCCTTCTCACAGTCAGCCACCCCCACAAAAAGGCACTGGGAAGGAACAGAGCAAGTCACACTGTAGTCTGTGATAAGACGAATTAGAGTCAAGAGTCAGTTCTGGAAAAAAAGAAAAGCAGCTTTTAACCAGAGTACAGGAAGGGAGGGTATGACATGTTATGTGTGTTCACACGTTGTAAGAAAGCTAGCTGCTGTGTAGTGGAAACATGGGTAAATTTCTCAAAACACAGCTTTTCAGACTGCGTGTGACCTTAGGAGGGCTTTAGATTTCATTTCCCTGCTTAGACACAAAATGACTCACTTTGATGTAATTTACTAAGAAAAGGGTTGAAAAGTGTTCATTTTTTTTTAAACCCCAAACTTGTCAAATATGTAATATTGGTGATTAGCATTAATTGACAATTTGTTATGGAAATGCATTTTCTAGTTGTGCATTGATAAGCCATAATTTGAATCAAGCATATTGGGAATTTTGTTGTTACGTCGTTAAAGGAACACCGCCATGTCAAAAAGTTGGAAATTATATTTTTGAAATAAAATTTTATTCATCACTTTCTACTTTATATACCTTTATATCTTAGTTGCATGATGCAAACAGTATTAAAAAGTCTAGTTTGTACTAAAGAAATCAAACATAGACACAGTTTATGTGTTCTGATTATAAAGTATAAGTATTTATGGATGTACTAGAGGCCAGGTACATGAAATTCGTGCACGGGGAGAGGGTGCCCCTCAGCCGAGCCTGAACCTTCTCCAATCTGGGACTCCTCAAAGGATGTCTGACTGCCCATTTAGGCCAGATTCAAGTGGGAGCGGGCCTAAACAGGCATTTGGACATCCCTCTTACAATCCCGGACTGCTGGCTCCCAACTGCTTACCTGCCTGCCTTCCTGATTGCCCCTAACTGCTCCTGCCTGCCAGGCTGATCACCCCCTAACCATTCCCCTGTCAGCCTGATTGATGCTTAACTGCTCCCCTGCCAACCTGTTTGCCCCTAATTGCCTGCCCCTTGCAGGCCTGGTCACCTCTAACAGCCCTCCCCTGAAGGCCTGGTCTCCCCCAACTGCCCTTCTCTGAAGGCCCAGTCACTTTCAACTTCTCTTCTCTGCCAGCCTGGTTCCTCCCAACTGCCTTCCCTTGCAGGTCTGGTCCCTCTCAACTGCCCTCCCCTGCTGGTCATCTTGTGGAGGCCATGTTGTGTCCACATGGGGGCAGGATCTTTGACCACATGGGGGCAGCCATCTTGTGTGTTGGAGTGATGGTCAATTTGCATATTACCCTTTTATTAGATAGAATAGAGGCCTGGTGCATGGGTGAGGGCCAGCTGGTTTGTCCTAAAGGGTGTCCCAGATCAGGGTGTGTGTTCCCTTGGGGTGTGAGATGGCCTGGGAGAGGGGCCTGTAGTGGTTTGCAGGCCAGCCACACATCCCCGACACCCCCGGCAACCCAAGCAGAGGCCTTGGTATCTGGGGTTTATTTACCTTCTACAGTTGAAACTTTGTAGCCTAGAGCGGAGCCAAGCCTTCTGCTCACTTTGTGGCTGCAACCATTTCTGCTGGGATTTATTTACCTTCTATAATTGAAACTTTGTAGCCTTGAGTGGAGGCCTGGGCAGGCTAGGGTGTGCGGAAAGCTTGGCTTCCTCCATTGCCTGGGAAACCCAAGCCTCACTCCTAATCTCTCCGTGGCCGCAGCCATCTTGGTTGGGTTAATTTGCTCCTGATTGGATGGTGGGCATGGCTTATGAGTGTAACAGAGTGATGGTTAATTTGCATATTACTCTTTATTAGATAGAATGTAATCTAAGTAGTAGTAAATAATACAGAACTATTGAATCCTTCAGATCACAAAACTATTGCTACTTTATATCTATTTTCTATAGCACTATGGGCAATAGAACAACAACAACAACAACAACAACAACAAAATACACCTGATAACTTTTTGAAATAAAGGATGCCATTATTTAGTGTCAGAACTTTTTCTCTATATCTAATCTCTTTCTCTACCTGCCCTAAATGAAATAAATGGCTGTTGTGAATATAAATTTTTAAAAATATGGGGTGAACACTTGACACATCTTAAGGTTCCTAAAAGGCATTACCTACTATTTGAGGCTTTGCGCTTATAATAGCTTTCTGTTCTTTAACAAATTACTACAAACTTGAAGGCTTAAAACATGTTTATCATCTCAAAGTTTCTGAGGGTCAGGAGTCTGGGCAAAGCATAGCTGGGTCTGCTCAGTGTCTCACAAGGTTGCAATCAAAGTGTCACCCAGGATTGAGTTCTTGCCTGGAGGCTGGACTGGGAAAGGATTTACTACCAAGTTCCCTCAGGTTGTTGTCAGATTCATTTCCTTGTGGGCATAAGATTCATAGCAGCTTGCTTATTAGAAACCAACAATGGAAACAAAGACTGAAGCAAAACAGGGTCTTAAATAATAGAGTGCAAGCATAGGGGTGGCATGCCCTCACTTTTTCCATGCAGCCGAACAGAATTGCAGAGGGACATCCCATCAACTGCCATATTCTCTTCGTTAGACACAGTCACAGGACCCACCCACCCTCTAGAAACAGGGATATGCAAAGGCAGAAGCATCTGGAGGTGGAGATCAGTATGCTACCTTAGAGTCCTCACAGCACCATTCAGGAGGTCACACATTTGACAATATAAAGATAATGAGTTTCTCCAAAATATTTTGAGTAAAAATAAGTGGTGAATGTTACCATTGTTAATTTTTCTATAAATAAATGGTAAGATTAAAGATCCTTGAAGTTAAAGAACCTGGTCAAGATTATATAACTAGCCAAAAAGCTGAGTAGGGAACTGAATCCAGTCTATTACTAACCTCACAACTTTGTCCCAGAGGTATATGAAATGATAGAAATTTTATTATTATTATTATTATTATTATTATTATTATTATTATTTGTTTTAGA